CACTTCAGGTTGGTCTTTCAGCTAAATTAAATTGCACAGCACTCCATTTGCCCATGAGAAATGGCAGAAGTATGCACCAGATTTCAAGTTCCAAAGGCTTCACATTCCCTCAAATCACCCACAAATGACATCCTAAAACACTGGCTTTCTGGGTTGAAAACACCCATGTTTAAGCTTTTCCGCAAGCTAGAATTTGTGGCAAATTTAAACAAAACTCCTTATCCTTTCATGGGTCACATGAAAATTAATGTAAATGGGTTCTGGCTTAATTGTATTACTTGGCAGCCTGCAAAGAGTCTGCCCCTTTTACTGTCACTGAATCTTGTATTCATGTAAATAACCCTCATTAGTGCTTTTTACTGTAAGTAGGGGTTACAAAACCAAGACGGATGATGCGAGTACGTCCTTTGTGACAGACAGATGGTTTGCTGTGGCATCACAGAAGAATGCCTAATTCCTGCTCTCTCCAAAGAGGGAGGCAACACAGAGAAACACTGCTGCAACACTAGTGCTGAGATAATCTTCAGGAGGAAGATTACTAATATTTAATTAAAAACACAGAAAGCAGATGTTCTGACTCCCTGCCAGGAACACCAGCCTACCACCACCATTACTTACATAAATTAAACTGTAGCTTTAGCTTGGGGATTGGAGGGAGCAGCACGGGCATGCAGGAGCACTGCCTGTAATTTGAGGGTACCTGTAATTTTGGCAGCAACTTCCAGCACTATGCTGAAGGTGCAGCCCTTGTTTGATAATGTAAAGCGGAGACTTGACTGAGCCCCTGTTTACTGCTGCTTCCTACAGGCACATTTCTGGATAGCCTCAAATTCCTGCAGAGTTTAAGCTCAAATTAAACACATTTACGTCTGTGGATTGTGCAGAAAACCTGAGGTCCAGCTGCAAATCACTGCTATAAATATTAACAGCTATCAAAAACTGAGCACTTTTGCCGCATCAGCACCAGAATGTGTGTCTCCCCATTTCTCATTCTGTGGGCAGCCCAGCCGAGCACCATGGGGAGAGCAGCACCCGGCAGGACTGCCATCGGGATGCCTCACAGCAGGGCCTGGGAAGAGGGCAGACTCATCAAATTAATTCTGAAGGCCTGGTGAAAGCCAGATGTGTGGTTCCCACTGCATGAAAATGTGTTAATAATGGTTAAAAAAAATCACCACCTGCTATCGTAGGGTACAGATAACAGTGGAATACTGTTACAGGTGTGATACATGAGCACAACTGAACAAGTCACAGGACTAACTGGCTTTAAACTCACATAAATATACAGCATGATTTTGGACTAAAGGGGACCCAGTGGCATATGGCTGTATTATGCTATATATCCTCATGGAGAGTGTTCTGCTGTATTGGGAACATAGTTAGGTTATACCATCTCAAGCTACACATTTCTCATGCTTTTAAATAAGCCAGCTCTGGTACCCTGATGCAAGGGTGTACTTATCTTCAGGTTTAAGTCTGGGGCTTCTCTTCTCTATAACATTTTCTTAAAAGAACAATCAGTGATGACAAAAAAGTGTTTGATGAAATACTAAAGATATATACTGAAATTAGATATTAGCCCAAACATGCTGCATCTTCTAGTTTTAGTTTTCCATTTAGATGTCACCTATTATATCCTTAGCACATGAGGAGTTTGATTCACTTTTTTGTTTGAAAATATTAAAATTTAAATTTAAAATGGCAAGCTAGGAAATTGGTGACCTGCAAGTCTAGTATGTTATTCTTTCATTTAGTATGCTCAGCAATGCATATATATTTTATACAAGAGCACCGAAGCTTGCAAAGTTCCAGTATGTTTGTTAAATGAGATTCTATTTAGAAATTGCTGTTCTAGGGGAACTGCATTTTTTGAAAGGAAAAAGGAAAGCATACCCCAGACGATACTAACTTTCAGAGCAACTTTGTTCTGCATTCATTTGAAAATCCAGATGAAAAATTGCCTGTAAATCAATTAATCCTATGAACAATTTGTGCCTACATACTCTTATGACAGTCCCTTCTTATTAGGTAAATCCAGGTGGTCATAAACCTCACTTCAGCCATATGGTAGGTGCGTATCACATACATGCATAAAACTTCCTGGAGCACCAGCGCGTGACTTCCTATGGGAAAAGCAATGGTAGACATCATTTCTCTGTATTGTTTTAATTGTACAACATTAAGTGCTGATGTTTTTAGCTCTGTCCACAAAGTTATTATACAAATTCCTGCAGGCCTCCCAGAGTGAGAGAATTCGTCTTTCTACTCACCAGTGACAACCTGAATCTGGCTCTGGTTGCCAAACCCAGCTCCCTCATTGAGGTGGACAGGAGAAGCACCTGCTTACACCATGCCCGAGCTCAGCAGCGGCAAGCAGCGGCAGCAGGTAAGCGAGGCACCGACGGGGCAGGACAGCGAGCCGTGTACGGACAGCCCTGGCCACCAGCTGCACTTTGTGCCAGCCTCTGCAGCTCCGTGTTGAGCAGCACAGAGATAAAGGCAGCCCGGGGCCTCCCATTTCGGGTGGGAATGGTTCAGCTGAAGACACGCTGCGATGCCAAGTCAGCAGCTGGCTGGGAAGGTCGCTAGCCCGGCAGCGTGCTGGCGCTCTGGGCTGCGCAGCTCCGCGGGCAGCGCTCGCCCCGCGGTGGGCCGGCAGGCTGCAGTCCCCCCCGAGAGAAGCCAGAAGAGAAGGCAGGGGGGTTCCCTCTTGTGGGGCAGGGGGCAGAACAAACCCTCTTCCCGGCAGGGAGGTGTGAGCAGACCTGCTCCGGCGGCTGCAAAGGCACCAGCGAAGGGCTGCCCTGGTCCCCGCCCGGCCACGGCAAGGACACCCCTGGGGCGGCGGATCCGCGCCGCCCGGCAAAGCGCTCCTGACGGCAGGCTGACGCTCCACCGCTGCCGCGGTGGGGAACAGGCGCCCGGGCAGCGCCTCGCCGAGGCGCCGGCCCGTACCTGCCGAGGCCAAAGCGCCCCGAGGCGCGGCCCGACGGCCGGTGCCCCCGGCGGGGGGGGAGCGTGTGTGACGCCGGGCCCCAGGGGAGGGAGAGAGAGAGAGGCCGCGCTTCGGCCTCCCGGGCGGCGGCGGGTCAGGGGTCAGCGCGGGCGGCGCCCAGGCCACGTGTGCAGCCGG